TCTTTCTTTCTTTCTTTCTCTCTCTCTCTCTCTCTCTCTCTCTCTCTCTCTCTCTCCCTTCCTTCCTTCCTTCCTTCCTTCCTTCCTATCTACCCACCTACCTACCTACCTTTGTAGGACAAGCGGTAGTGGGGGGGTATAGTGCATTTATTCCCTTAGCCCCTCATTCTCCCCACCCACCTCGGTGCATTTCACTTCTCCAGTGAACGTACCTGCAAGGTTAACGTCTGCCGTTGTTCCCTCTCCAGCCGACAGATTACATCAACGCCAGTTTCATGGACGGCTACAAGCAGAAAAACGCTTACATCGGCACTCAAGGTATGGAGGGCCCTTTGTAACTTAATGGTGTGACATGTGTTGGAGGCTCTTTGTGCCGTCCTTACAATGTTTCTCCTCCTGTGTAACATACATGCATTTCTTCTTCAGGTCCCCTAGAGAACACGTACCCTGACTTCTGGCGCATGGTTTGGGAGCAGAACGTGCTGGTGATTGTCATGACCACAAGGTGAGTTGCCCCCCCCCACCTCTGCGCACAACGAACCGCAGGAGACAGGGCTTTTCACCCAAGTTTAGAACCTGCCCCACAACCACACTGCTAGTACGTCTCTCTCTCTCTCTCTCTCTCCGTGGGGCCCCCACAGAGCAGCTTGATGCAGGCGGCACTCAAGGTATGGAGGGCCCTTTGTAACTTAATGGTGTGACATGTGTTGGAGGCTCTTTGTGCCGTCCTTATGATGTTTCTCCTCCTGTGTAACATACATGCATTTCTTCTTCAGGTCCCCTAGAGAACACGTACCCTGACTTCTGGCGCATGGTTTGGGAGCAGAACGTGCTGGTGATTGTCATGACCACAAGGTGAGTTGCCCCCCCCACCTCTGCGCACAACGAACCACAGGAGACGGGGCTTTTCAGCCAAGTTTAGAACCTGCCCCACGAACACACTGCTAGTACGGCTCTCTCTCTCTCTCTCTCCATGGGGCCCCCACAGAGCAGCTTGATGCAGGATTCAATCAGGGCATTCCCAAGCCACGTTTGAGAGAGCCCGTGCCATTGCAGAAAGAAAAAATAAAAGGATATATGAGAAGTCAAGATTCTCTGGGAAAGACAATGGTACAGAAAAAAAGTGGAAGGCTGCAGGGAAAGAGGAAGACATGAGATGGACTGGCTCCCTAAAGGAAACCACAGGCTTGAATTTGGAATAGCTAAGAAGGGCTGTTGAGGACTGGAGCTCGCTCATTCATAGGGTCACCATGAGTCGGAGGTGACTTGATGGCCCATAACAACAACAACGACATCATCCTAACAAGGTTTTCCATTATTTTTGACACATTGGGAGGCCCATCATCTTCTGAGAACCTTCTTATTTAGCTTGTGCATAAATCTGGAGCTGCCCTGATGTCTTAAAACAAGAAGAAGAAGAGGAAGAAGAAAATAGAAGCAAAGTTTTTAGGGTAACTTTGAGGACTCTGAAATTTCTTTCAGTGCGAGTTTTCCCAGATCACCGCCTGCTTCTTCCCGAGACGTGGTCTCTGAAAGGATCTGAAACATTTTCCTCTTTCTGGATTACAGGCTTGAAGAAGGGGGCAGAAGGAAATGCGGCCAGTACTGGCCATTGGAGAAAGATTTCCAGGCCTCTTACGGAAACCTAACGGTCACCAACCTCGGAGTGGAGAACCTAAACCATTACAAGAAAACCATTCTGGAGATCTACCACTGTGAGGTAACAAGAGGCCATTGGGAGGCAGGGATCAAAGGCGTAGGAGGATGATTTAATGACAGAATGGGAGTGTCTGTTGACTACCAATAAAGCCCAGGTTCTCCACCCAGAAATAATTCTGCAGGTTTTACGAGTTGTGATTAGTGTGAGTAGCTATTCTGCATATCTACCAGATTTCATTGAGAAAATTTTCATTTTGTTACACAATTTTTGGTTAAAAAAAATTCCTTTTTGCTACACAATAGACATACAGAGATCCACAGAGGAGAAGAGTACGTGTTCCTTCCTCATTCACTGGCACTTAAGGTCTCAGTAACTTTGAGGCACTTAAAGGAGAATTTTTTAAATATTACTTACAGTTGCTTGAAATTACAGACGTGTGTGCCGTTTTCTTCACTGCCCATATTATTTAGCAACCAACTGAACAGATCAACAGCAAACAAAGAACGGTTGCCACAGTCTAAAGAGAGGGAAAGAGAACACTCAGCAGGACGGTTGCCAGTCTAAAGAGAAGGAAAGAGAACACTCAGCAGAGAGTCGGGGCTCTCTTTGAATTCAACGATTGGAAGGAACGATTGGTTAAAGCTAGATAGACAGTCACCCAACCCAGAAAAGCCCCCCCCCCCGTCACACAAACTACAGACAGCATGCAAGGTTGCAAATAAAACTCCAACATTTTTATCCTCCCAATACATGCACAGAGGCAAGTGTTAATGGGCTGGTCGCTTTGTGTAAGTTTCCATTCACATGGACTGATGTGAATATTACACACAGTGAATGTGCAGTCTCTCCAGCTGGAGAATGCGCACAATAACCAAGTAGCAAGAGAAGCAAGCGATATGTTTGCTGGCTGAGAAAGGATTTGAACCCAGGTCTCCTGAGTCCTAATCCAACATTCTTACCACTAAAACATCATTCATTCCTTTATTACAATTAACAGGTCAGATAAAAAGTCATAACAGAACCACACAACGGTGGGGATTACTGAATACAAATTAAATATACACTGTGTTAGATTAACTCTTAAAAATAGATACTCATAAAAATTTTATGATAACTACTAAAACACTACCTGGGTGGTTCTGGCAGTCAAAAACTTGAGTTTTCCCAATTTTGTTGTTGTTGTTGTTTTGTAATCTGTGCCTTTGCGCCAGGATTGCTCCTCCACTCTTGGATGTGAGCCTTCTGTAAGAGCCGATGACATAAAACTGACTGTGTCCCTGTCTTCTTCTCTGTAGAGTCGGGAGAGACGCCTTGTGACACATTTCCAGTACGTGAGCTGGCCTGACTATGGCGTGCCGTCCTCTGCCACGACCCTCATCGACTTCCTGAGGGCTGTCAAGCAGCAACAGAGGGTGGCCGTCCACGCCTTGGGGCCGCGGTACAAAGGACACCCCGGGGGCCCACCCATAGTGGTGCACTGCAGTGCCGGCATTGGGCGAACAGGTGAATATAATGTAGCACAGCTCTTTGAAGCAGACTCAACCTGATGAGCAGTTTCTAAAGCCCATTGGATTGTTTGCCTGCATTCCAAGAGCAAGACGTGGAATACTTCACACACACACACACACACCCAAGGTTTCCCCCAGTTGCACAGACTACGTCTGCCAATAGCTGGAGTCTTTTCCTTCCTAGAAGCAAAGAACACACTCGCCATGAGCTGAAAAGTCCTGGCAGGCTGTTTAAAAAGATACAAGCACCCCATTCGGTGCTTCCCATCTCCAAAAGTCTGTGCAAGAAGCTCTTGTAATCCTATTCAATTTGTGCAGAAATGGCATTCCCATTCTTGCGAAAATGCTGGTTCACAACCCAAAGAAATATCTCGCCATCTTAAAGGGTGAGGACAAAGGTCTCAATTCCTCATCTTTGTGTGGGGACAATGAGGCAAACAAGGATTCACATCTGTCCTACTGTGGCTTTCCTTGACCGGATGTCCTCTAGGCTACCATCTTTCCCCACTGCCAGCCACAGAAACCATAAACCTACAGCTCTGTTCTAGAACATCATTTCTGCGTGCAGAACGCCCTAGGTTCAGTTTCTAGCTTGGGCTAGGAACGAATCCCGTTTCGGTGCACATAGTGGGGAGCTGGAATCGACCAATGGTCTAACTCTGTGGTTCCCAGAAGTCTTCACCACTAGCTGTGCTGGCCAGGATTTCTGAGAGCTGCAGTCCAAGGACCTCTGGGTTACCCAAGATTGGGAACTCTTGGTGTAACTGAATAAGAACAGTTACCTTAGATGCAGTACTTGTGGTCAGTCTCTGCAAGGTGCAAGTATATTATCTTCCCTTTAGTGTTGCAGTTAAGATGGGAAAGGAATGCGCAGAGCTTTGGAACGGTTTTTTCTGACTCCTGTTCCCAGAATCCCCCATCCAGCATGGCCACTGGGAATTGTAGTCCAAAGCTGGACCTTTCCACCTATCTTGTGGCCAAACGTTCAGAGAATGGTCTTCCAAGAAGCACTGAGAGCGCCACGGCTGCCCCGTCTTGACGTAGATGCTGTGGTGGATACCGTCAGGGCATGGGTGGGAAAGGTGTGGCTCTCTGGATGATGCTGGACTACAGCTCCTATCATCCCTGGCCATTCACGGCGGAAGTCCCACAAAATTTGGAAGGCCATGCATTTTTCCATCCTCTGGTTAGATCATGATAGGACAAGCTGTTTTTTTTTGGGGGGGGGGTTTCTAGCTCTCATGGCAGCTTGCTAAAAATTATGTTAACGAGGCCTCCGTGAAAGGCTAAAATAAGGAGACCCATTGAGGCCAGGAGGAGAAACTTTATGGACGACATCTTCAAAGATTCTCAGTCCTCCAGGTGAGGTGAACTGGAAGCTGAGTCATGGACACTGGAATTCTTTTTTATTAGGTTGAAATGTTTCACTACTCATCCATTGTGGATTACAGGTCCCAGAATCCCCTAGCCGCTGAGGATTATGGGGGAAATCAACTGCCAAAGTCTGGGCAGATGGTGATTCTTGTCTTCTCTCTCCACCTCTCTCTCTCCCTCCCCAGGGACTTTCTGCGCCTTGGATATCTGCCTGTCCCAGTTACAGGACGTGGGCACCCTGAACGTCCAGGAGACGGTGGTGCGCATGAGGACGCAACGGGCCTTCAGCATCCAGACCCCAGAGCAGTACTATTTCTGCTACATGGCCATCATTGAGCATGCGCAGAGAGAAAACCTCCTCCCTCCCTCCCACACCCGGGTTGGCCTGGAGAAAAGCTAATAGAAAGGTGACGATTCGGCAGCAGCCGGGGGCTGCTCTGCGGTAGACTTCCTTCCTCCTTCCACCTTGGACCAGTCTGGACTCGCCCGCACCCTCTTGACGTTTGCCAAGAACTCTTGACGCGACCCAAATTTCCTCGGCCGTCACGGCTGTGGGCGAAGCCTTCCTTTGGACGAGCGGGCCGGGACGAGTGGCAGCCGGTGGCCCTTTGGCGACCAAGGCTGGTCTTCTTTCATGGACCCGCGCCCTTGACTGAACTGTGCCTTATTCAACACCCCCCCAAAACCAAACATGCAGCCTCGCCTGCAGCTGGAGGCACGTGGGGATGGGGGGGAACACAGTGGACTCCTTGCTGGGGGTAAGCAGTGTCCTCCTTTTGAAACTCTGGCATGGCTGGGAAGTTGGCGTTGACTTCATGACCTCTCGAGTCTCTTCCAGTTGGACCATCCTTAATGGAGAGGACACCCCCACTCCCACCCCCTGGCCGCTTAGATACTGTAGGAAGCCTTTTCAGGAGAAAAGGATTAACCCGGACACTTCAGTCTTACGCACCACTCAATCACTACTCTGTATGAATGTTACACGTGGTTCTCGTACCGGCGTGCTGTAGCCAGTATTCCTGTTCAATATTCTCGATGCAGACACTTGTAGCCGGAGTCTCATAGTCTCGTACCGTCTATAAGTCCAGTGGCCTCTTTTTTTCCGTGGCAGCGTCCAGTGTTATAGTGGACACGGGTTTGCCCTTCCCTCCCCCCCCCCACAATGCGCACATTTCGAGGTGCTCGGTGGTGGTGCCGATGACACCCAACGGCTTCCAGGAGACCACCGTCGGGGAGGGCAGCTGTGCGAACGGGGGCTGTGGTCCCGAAGCCTTTCCAAACAGACGTGGATGCTCTGCGCCAGACCTAGGACACGATTATTTAAAAGTGCAAGCTGTTTTTTTTTCTTTCTTCTTCCATGCCTGCTTTTTTTTTTAACTTCCGTTTAAACTTGGAGGGAGCTGGAGAGGCAAGGGGGGGTTAACCCTTGAGTGAAGATCTGTGGGTCCCTTTCCCCCCTCCACCCCCGCGCTGCCCTGTGGGAGGCCAGGAACCACTTGCTCCGCGGGGATGCTGGCCAGAAATCTGAGTCTTTGGTCTCAAGTCTGAGTCCCTATTAAAAACAAGCTTTTTCCGCCCAGAAAAAAAGCAGACATGGGCGAGTTCCGAGTCATGAATCGAGAGCCAGTCATTGAAAAAAAAAATTGCCCCAAGTCGAGTCACCGGTGTGACTTAAGTCTGACTTGACAGCAAATCCCGCAACTCAAGTCCCTTAACCCTGCTAGCCGGGAAAGCTAAGTGAAAGGTACGAAGTGCATCAGAGAATGTGTGTGTACTGTATCAGAGGTTGGCCACTTACAACCCTCCAGATGTGGTGAGACTTCTGGTCCCATCAGCCCCAGCCATTGGCTGATTTTGGTTAGGGCTGGTGGCGGTGGAGATACGACCACCTCTGCCCGCTCACTGGCCCCAAAGCAGTTCTCCTGTAGAGACTCCCAACTCACCTGCGCCAGGTGAACTTGGAGATCGAAATGAGAAACCAGAGCTATTCAGAAATGGTGTGTGTGTGTGTGGGGGGAGCCTTCTCTCTTCCTGGACCCCTTATACGGAGTTGGACGGCGATTCCACCAAGCTCAGTAACTAGAGCTATTCAGAAATGGTGTGTGTGTGTGGGGGGGAGCCTTCTCTCTTCCTGGACGGCGATTCCACCAAGCTCAGTAACTTTATACTGGAATAAGCTCTTCTGAATGTGTATATTTCTTTTGTTGTGTGTGGTTGGGTTTATTTTTACAACCTTTCTCCATTTCTCTCCCTACCCCCCCCACTTTATTTTTGTATTTAACATTAACTTGATCAAATCCGAATTGGAGATAACTGTACATGTTTCTGTTCGCTGTTGTATGGCGACTCCCGTTTCGTTTTTGTATTTACAAATAAAATATACCTATAAGCCACACGCGTGGCGTTTTGGGTGGCATACGCTTCTACTTCGGTGGATGTTGGAACGTCATCGGGAAATTGATTTTATCCCCGTCTGGATTCCGCATCGATCCTGCCTTCCCAAAGACCTTGGAATTTCAAGCTGGTGCCAAGAATTCTCTCCACACAAAATGCTACCCCTTCCTCTCTGCAAGTCATTTGGGGAGGGGGTTGAGTTATTTTTTTTTTAAAGAATAAAAACGCAGAATGGAACTGCGGAGTGTGGTGCCGAATCTGGAGACTAAAACCAAGATCGTCCACACTCTTGTATTTTCAGTCGTCACGTAAGGGCGTGAAAGTTGGACAGTAAAGAAAGCTGGCAGGAAAAAAGGGGGGGTTCACTTGAAATGCGGGGCTGGAAGAGAGTTGTGTGGATGGCCAGAAAGACAAAGGCGGGGGGTCCTAGATCAAATTGAGCCTGAACTCTCTCTGGAGGCAAAAATGCTGAAGCTGAGGCTGTTGTACTTTGGGCACCTCGTGAGAAGGCGGGAGTCTGTGGAAAAGACAATTCTGCTGGGAAAGTCGGACGGCAGCAGGAAAAGAGGAAGACCCAATACGAGACGGACTGATTCTCTAAGGGAAGCCACAGCTGTGTGTCTACAAGAGGTAAGCAAGGCTGTTGAAGATAGGACATTTTAGAGGCCTCTCATAAGATCGCCATAAATCAGAGATGACTCGGTAGCCCATAACAGAATTTTTTATACATGCATCTCTCCCACCTCCCTGGTTCTAAAAGGTGGGGATGACCTTCCTTATGATCCACACAGCTTCACTTCTAAGAACTCTGCTGTTCTTCTGGCGGTACGAGTTCAGCTTTAAAAAAAACCACCATACCTGAGCAAAAAATAATAATAATTCCAGCAGTCACTGTTGATTAGAAATGCAAACAAATCCGCCTGGATAAGCAAGAAGGGCTTTCCTGATTTCACCAATGCTGATGGATCACATCCCATGGTCAAACTTGAAAGCCTCCTTATCGCCGCATTCACTCCCTGAAACAAGAAGGGCCCCCCCGAGTAATCCTGGCCCTCCATTAGAGAGCATCTCCCCTCAGATAAACACCTTTGGAGGCAGTGATGGATTTAATTTAAATCACGGTTTAATTTTTTAAAAGGATTTTTGATTTAAATTTTTTTAATGATTTTAAAAATATATTAAATTGTGATTGAAATCCATGTCTTTTTTAAAAAATTCATTGATTGTTATCCACCCTGCCTCAAGCGCTTCCTTTCCCTCCCCCTGAACTGAATGCTTTGAAACAGAGTGTCATTCAAGAACAAGTATTTACGTGTGTCATTGATCGTTTTAAATCCTGCTTTGAAAACTTCTCTCTGCTGCAATGCTAGTGCGGTAACTAAGGAAACGCTGGCAGAGATTGACGATAATGGATGTGGGGATTTGATCTCGCCACATTCATTACTGGGTGAGCAAAGACATCCGATCTTGTTTTGTACAATTCATAACCATTCAGAGTCCTTCCGGCAAATGGGTGTTTTATTTAGAAAAAAAAAGATGATGGCAACTTTTGCTGAAAAGCCCAGCCAAACCAAAACCACCTTAAACTTCACGGCTTGTGAATACGAAACCCATGCTCCACTTTCATTCTTTCCTCTGATGGCCGATCCAAAGATCATTAGGGCTGGTTATTTTTATTGCTCATATTTATGATTCCTGACTTCCTTTTCTGGGGTGGTGGAAGTCCCATTAAGGCAGAGAATAAATCAGTGCAATAATAACAGGCCCAGGACAAAATCCTATTATTGTTTTACGGTGGTATCTGATCCTATATAGTGGAACTGCAATGCGCGACTTCTCTTACTCTCCGTGGTGCTAACTAAGCCCCTGGTTCACCATCTCCTCATCGAGTTTTAGGGTGTACGGAGAAGGGAACAGTCCCTGATTTTCGGGAAGGCAACATGATCCTACAGAAAGGTCCCTAAAAATTAATTTCAATTTCAGATCTTTTTTTTAAGCCAGTATTGTTCAAAAAGAAAATGAAAACAAGGGGGTGAGGCCAAAACTTTAGGGCAGTGGTCAGGGAACAGGGGTAAATTACCCCAAATGGGGTAAAAATGAAAATCCTGGGGGTAATAAGGATGAACAGAGCCCCAATATTGATGCTCTCATATCCAAGATGAAGCAACATCATTTCTCCAAAATCTGAAGTTTTCAAGTAAGTTGAAGCTTTCAAAGTAATTTTGAATAGATTCAATAAGAAATAATGATTTCCTTCCTTTCAAATCAAGGGGGTAATGTCGTATATAAATTGTTTGGGGGGGTAAAAGGTAAAAGTTCCTTGATCCCTGTTTTAGGGCCTTATGAACTGAGGTGAGATGATATGCTTAGTGGCCTCGGTCTCTGGCTGCAGAGCCAGAGAGGTTAGGAGTTCGATTCCCCGCTGAGCCTGCTTTGACAGGGGCTGGACTAGATGACCCATAGGCTGAGCCTCCTTTGACGGGATGGACTAGATGACCCCTAGGGTCCCATCCAGTTCAGCATTTCTGAGAGTGTTATGAACTGCTGGAGAACTCCGTGGCGTCGGCTGAGAGTTCGATTCCTGACAGTGCCTCTTGTCAGGGGCTGTATACAATGATCTGCGGGGTCCTTTCCAGCTCTGCTGTTCTAAGATTATTATTACTGTACATTATCCTTTGACGGGATGGACTAGATGACCCCTAGGGTCCCATCCAGTTCAGCATTTCTGAGAGTGTTATGAACTGCTGGAGAACTCCGTGGCGTCGGCTGAGAGTTCGATTCCTGACAGTGCCTCTTGTCAGGGGCTGTATACAATGATCTGCGGGGTCCTTTCCAGCTCTGCTGTTCTAAGATTATTATTACTGTACATTATTTAATATCGTGGGATTCACTAATTAAGGAACCTGTAGGATTTGGGGGGGGGGCCTCCACGGATGGCTGCCTTGTCGTGGCGAAGGGGCTTGAGTCATTCTCTTAAACGTCAGACCTTCAAACACCCACGAAGTGTGGCCTTCTAGAGCAGGGTGGCTCACAACTCCCATCACCCCTGGATCATTAACAGCGGGATGATGGGCCTTGTAGTCCGACGCCACGTTCCCAGGCTCTGCTTGAACATTTCCTGGTGCTTCTTAAGAACTGAACCCAAGTTTTTATTCTTGTTGCAAGCATATTTATAAAGTTCTTAAAAAGAGGGCTACTAATCCCGAAGCCAGTCATTCCGTTCGGGATCCGTCCAGGCGGAGCCCGATCCTTTACAAATGGCTGCTCGGGCCCCCCAAACTCTTTTTCTCCGACAACGCCTGGGCGCGTAGGAAAAGGAGGAGGCGTGGCTTCAAGGGGAGCCCTTAAGCCCCGCCCACGACGGCCACGCCTCCTCTCCCTTCCCAGCCAATCACCTTTGGGGGGCGTCCCCGTCCATTCAGGATTCCTCGCCTGGGCTTTTGAGGGTATGTAACAGCTGCTTTCTATTGAGTCCCCAAAATTATTTTAGGGGGAGGGGGGTGTTGTTTTTTTGGGGGGGGAGTGGGGAAGCGGAGCGGAAGTTGAGCCGATTCTGCACGCAGGAAGGGCGCCTCCGATTCGGATTAAGGCCAGGATTGTGGAAAGGTTGGCGGGGGGAGGAGGAGGAGGAGAGAGAGAAAAAAAGAGATGGAAAATATCACGGGTAATTAAGGCGGGAAAGGAAACGGGGAGTTAAAACGGGGAGGGGAAGGATCAACCCCCCCCCCGCCGAAAAGGAGCGGGGGAGGGATCGTCTGCTTAAATCGCCCGGCTCCGTCGTGTAATTTGGATCGGCTTTTTGGTTTTTGCGCTCGGTTCCGATGGAAGGAGGGGGCGGGCAGGCAGGAGGAGGAGGAGGAG